GTAATGTATTCTGAAAATTTTAGATAATTTCGCCACCAGCACAGAGCATGCAGCCAGAGCAGTGCTCATGTCTTTTAACTTCCTCCACAAATGCAAGGGGATTCCAGCCCACTGTCCACCTTGATTGCACTATTGAGAATACCCACCAGCAAACCAGAAATAGCTTTACTATCATCATAAAATTATGACCAAATGGTGAATCTGATCTGACATAACTTTCAATAATGACACATAGCACCATAGGGATTTACTTAAACTAACATCTGACCAAATGATGAATCTGATCTGATATAACTTTCAATAATGACACCATAGGGATTTACTTAAACTAACATTATCTGGCTTTCCAGCAGTCCTGTACTACTTCAGTGTGTATATATAGGTCTACTGTGGATATATGAGAGTATTAAATTACTTTAAAAAAGCCCAGGTAAAATGCACATATTTTTACCAGTAAATCTTCCAAGTCTGTTCTCTTTGCAAAGGGTTATTAACAGTGGAACAACTCCCATAGAGAACTAGAGGCAAAATCCCAATTACTGATATGTTGACAGCAGTAGTAATCAGAGACCACGGAGTCTTAGATCTAGGTTTAGGGTTCTGGTTCAATTTAATGAAATGGGGGTTTCAACTTTAATGACACAAAAATCTTAGTGTCCTCCTCCTTATTTTGGATTTTTTTTAGCTACTAGCTCACATTCTTGCCTTCCTATCCAAAAAAGGCCCCAGATTTTCCTGCTGTCTCATTTCCAGGTTAGCCTCAAAATCCAAATGAACAGATGTGGATATAAATCTTATCCTCCCCCTGCCTGTAGTTCTAGTTTGGAGTTACGTTTCATTAAAGTCTATCTGAAAAAAATTGCAAGACTGCTAGAAAAACAGTGCACTACAGAAGATAATGATACATATGTTGTGACCTACTGTGTAGGATGCAGCACAGACAGAAGCAACATCCATTAAATAGTCCACCTGGGAACACAGCTGCTCTTCAGATACCGAATCCTGGGACTCCAGTGCGGCTGGCTTGGCTTTCTGCACACGTGGGGTGTCTGCATCAGTTCTTTCCAGGTCGGTGCTAGCTTCTTCTTCAGCCCCGTCCTCAAAGGAGACGCTCTGCCCATCGTCGATACTGGACAGGATGCCGGAGGCCACCGAGTAGTTCCGAGAGGATGGCAGCCCGGAGTCGGGAGAGTCAAACTCTACAGACTGATGCTCTACGGCAGCTACTGCTGCTGGAGTGTCTGCGGACACCACAGTGAAAGGGGGGTCATCCTGACCTTTGGAGTCTCGCTCTGCTGAGTCCATTTCATCTACAGATATAAAGACCTGGAGGAAGGGGATGTTCGAATAAAGCAGGGGAGGGAGAAGAAACAGGAAACGTAAATTTAGAAAACAAACCTCCAGCCATGAAGGAGAGAAGTGACAATGTTACTTGACTGCACAAGGTCACTGATTAACAGAGTTTCCTTGCATGCAAGCAGCTGGGGGCAGTCTGGGTACAGCAGTGACAGGAGAACTTACGTCATTGCTGATGGTGGAGTCCCTGTGAATCAGTCGCTGGACGTGGCTATCAATGCTGCTGCCTGATGAAAACTTTGCCAATGTGGCAGAATGTGATTCTTTCTCCCGCTGCTTTACAATGATCTCACAGGCTTTCCACTCAGCCATGACCTTCTGATACCGGAGAGCAATGTCTTCATCCACCTGCAGACACACAGGTACTGAAATACTGGCTCTCAAGGGGAGATGACATTAAAGCATACATGGAAGCCAGAAGAGGAAGGAATAAAACAAGTGTAATGGCTGAAACTGGATATCTGAAGCAACCTGAAGACCTCTTGCATTACCTCTAGCATAAGCCCAGGTGCAAGTCATGTGTTTATAGATACAGAGACTCCTGAACAACAGAAATCCAGTCCTACGGCTGCACTGCATAGAGCCAGATAGTGTGGGAACCACTTGGTTCCCATAGTAATGGAGCAGACTTTTGCCACTGCTGGCTTCTTCTGTTGACAGACAGACACAGACAGCCCCCCTGGGCTATTAAGGGACACGTAGTAATTTTACTGCTTTGTCAGTTGTCAAGAGCTGAACAGAAACCACACTTGTGAGCTGGCTTCAGGCTCTGGGCTCTGCTGGCTGCAAGTGCTACCAGAGTGCTCATGCTAAAAGCTGCAGGCTGTTTGCCACTCGAGATAGCTGTGGAAACATAAATCACAAAGTACCACAGTTACGGGAAGGCTGGAGTTGAAGGCTATGTTTGGGAGAGCCCCAGATGCTTATGGATGACTGCAAAATATCATCAGAAGGCAAATATGGTAAATCATCCATGTTGGCTTCAGTTAAGGACATCAGAAGTTTCCCATATGTGCTAATGTTATGACTCTGCTCCTTCTGTTCATTTAGTAGAGTCTTACATTCAGTGTGAAGCTTTCAACAACAGTCCAACAGCATGTTTCTTTGAGGAGTCAGTTATTACTGTTATTTACTACTTATGTTGAGTAAGCTCATAGAACTCCAGGCAAGGTTGGAAACACCCTGTGTCAGTACAGTACAAACCAAGGGAAAAAAAGTCCTAACACAGCCTGCATTCTGCAGTCAGTTGTTTCTGCCCTACCTTTCTGAATTTAGTGTAATTATTATTGTGTAAATAGACTCCAGTTTTCTCTTCATAGAATTACAGAACGCTTAAGGTCAGAAGAGACCTCCAGAGGTCACCTAGTCCAACCTCCCTGCACATATCTTGCTGTGCTCAGGCTATTTTTGACAATTCTTGTGTTCTGGATATATGTAAATGTGCGTCTTCAAGCTGGGGCTAAAATTCCCAGCCATGGGTTGTGGCTCAAGATCACCTGCTCTAGAAGCACTTCTTGTTTCGACTTACACTGTATGCACAAAAGAGATGATGAGACAAGTATTTCTCTACAACAGCCATAGCTCCTAGCAGGCCTGTGGCAGTGCATCGGCCTGGCTGGATATGTGGATTCGCCTCTCCTCTTAAGCAGTTTGCCTGGCTTTCAGGAGATAAGAGATAATCAACAGGACTTACTGCCCCAGGTGGCTTCAGAAGTGCTGTTCTTCCAGTGCTGGCAGCTTGGGAGGGCAGGAAGCTGCCTAAGCAGTGCTCAGTGGAATGCTCTTGCTATACACATTCTGTCCAGACTACACATTAAGAAACGAATCATCCGAACACCTTCAAAAGTTACTGGATTAGAGGTGAAGAATTTGGACTGTGACCCATTTGAACAGTTAAGGGGTGTATTTCTCCATTTGTACTCAGAACTGTTTTATGAAGATTAGTGCAAGGAAGAACAAGACAAATTGCCTTAGGAAAGAAGAATGCTGCTTAGAAAGTGCCCAAGGTTTAGAAACTAATTTTTCAACTTGAAGGCTCTAAGGCTGGCTGCCTTTGTGATCTGCAGCTGCTCACAGGCCCCTTGGGATATAAAATAATTGGGAGTTAGCATATGCCAAGTGTTCTGGTTTTGACATACAAATCACTTCTCATCCAGTTAATCTGTTCTAGAACAAGATCAGCCACTGCGTGAGTGCTACCTCCCCAAGAGTAACACCAACAGGAGAGCACATTAATGAGTTAATTACATTCCAGGACCACCCTCACTACAGTTCAGCAAACTTCTGGGCAATTCTTGATGCCAGTCAAAAGCAGTGTTTTATTGACACACAAATCCAGAGCTTATCCACAGAGCAGCATCCTGCTGGAGGCCCAAGCCTGACATGGAGAACTTCCCTCTCCTCAACAGCCACAAGAGCGGGACTAGCAGCAATGTTAGGGTATCTAAGAGCAGACTGACATTCCCAGCACACATGGGCCTAAGGACTGCAGGAGATGTAACCCAGTGTTGGCACTACCGGGCCTGCTTATCACAGGAGGCCTTCAGTTCTTGCTCTGCACCTGAGCCAGCTCTAAAGCTGCATTAGGGTCTGAACTTGGGCCTATCCTCAGGCTTCACTTGAGAATAATTGATAAAAATGCCTAGCAATCATAGGAACAGCTATATTGGATTAGGTGAAGACTCCTCTAGCCTAGGATATCAGGAACAGGAATATTGCTGTGTTTTTTCCAGCACTATGGCCTAGGTCTACATCCAGTTTCTGTTCAATGAGCTTTACCCAGTAAAGACATCGCCTACCCAGTTTAGCCATCTCTGACTTTATCTGGTTGTTACAGACATAGTTTATTATCAAGACTTCTTCCCAGTATGTACAACAAATTGAAACACATAGCAAAGAAGTCAAATTTGGTATTGCTATAAACAGACCAGTAAATAATATTAATGTAGCTGCTAGATATGTACACTGTGGTTTCATTAATGGATACTATATACTTAATGTCAATTTTCCAACTGTAAAATAGGACTGTGACATAACATAGAAAACTACTAACTGCTAGCAGCAGTATGCTAGATATTAAGAGGAAAAATGTCTCATCTGAGACTGCATCTTGTGTTTCAAAAACGCTCATCTTACATACGTCTGGGAAAAGCCTAATGAACTTACAGACCAAACCTTCCTTTGGGGATTTTTTGCCTCTAGACAGTAGCTCCTAGTGCAAGATGCATCTTGGCTGTTCAAACAGCTCTAATAGAAGTCCAAACATGTAAATGTGCTGCAGTATACAGTAGTATTTCAAAGAGAATTTAAAGTATAACTCAGCCAACACATATAAAAGAGAAGTTAATGAAAACTACTACCCAAATGTCACCATCATCCCTATTTTACAAAAGAATTATATGAGAAAATGTGATTTGCTGAAAGCAAGCATGTCACAGGTGCAGATGGAGCGCAGGTGCCCAGCTTTAGTAAGGAACCCCTTTAAGAGATGATAAGCTGCAAGAGATTCATATCCAGCTACCAACCTGTGAATTTGTTTTCAGTAGCACTTTCCCTTAGAAATATTAACTAATAATGAAAACTAACACCTGCTATTTAGAAAAGAAAACCCGCTCTGTGTATGTAACACAGATTTCCAGAAACTTGAACTTACCTGGTCCATTTCCTTTTTGGCCATGCCAAATTTGTAGTGACCTAGCAAGAATGGCCATACCTCCTTTCGAATCTCATGCTGTACCCCACCATAGTAAACTCTTCTTAGTAATTCCAGTTCCTTGTAATTCTACAGCAGTCAGGAGAAAGAGGTATGTGAAGGTAATACATCTTTATTTTCCTTAGGCATAGTTAAATGTGTTTAATTTCAAGTACAAAGACAGTGAAATGCATCCAGGGCATTACCCTTTTGTAATCTGAAGTACGGTTTAAAGCCTTAATTCAAATCCAGTCTACTATAGAAAGCTGTAATATCTCCCATGACAGTAATCTAATTTTGCATAGATTAGAGCCACCATGAGACCATTTGCTTTGATGTTAATTGATACTTTAGCCGCCATCAGAAAAGCAGAGCAAAAGAGACTAAGAATCTCATTTTCACTGAAGACCATCCCAGAAAGACTGGATGATTCACAGTCCCAATTCTAAGGAATAGTGTGCTTGCTGCAGCATAGTGTGCTCAATGCTTGTGAGGGTATTCTCTCACCTTCTTGTCTTTCTGATACTTGCTCCAGACCTCTTTTGTCAGGCCTCCTGAAGCACTGGCTGGTTTGTCAGGTGGAATAATAGTGTGGTTCACGAGCGCGGACAGATGTGTTCGCACCGTCGACAAGTGGCGGCAGTAAGCAAGCCCTGTGATGGGGCAGGGAGGAGGCAACGCTTTCAGAAGTGAGCAATCTACAGAATATCAACAGCAATCTACAGAATATCAACAACAACCCTCTGTGAAGACAAGTTACAACATTTTAAACCTGTTACTAATATTGCCATATGAAGGAAACTTGCATTTGTTCTGTATAAAAATGAAGTATTGCAATAGTGACAATTGATTAGTTGACAGTAAGATTAATCTTATGCAAACAAAAACAAAAAAGGAGAGTTATTACATTGCAACATACAATTACACTGCATCTTCACTAAGTATCGGTTGGTTATGCAAAAGCCACAGGTACTGGAATTACGAAGTTACAATGCTTGGGTCATGATTACCCTAGTGTCCTGAAAGAACTCACATGACTCACCTGGTAAACTTAGCAGCAGCCAACAGGAAATTTAGGTTTGGACTGCTTTTTGAACAACAAACATGGCCTGATACCCAGGGCCTTTTAAATAAGCATACAGATACCACAAGGGCTGGATATAAGAAGCTTCACTTACATCCATAAAAGGCTCTGGAAACTATTTGCCTCTTCATGCTTTCACACAACATCTTTAATGGAGTTCTGTGGAGAAACATTAACAGAAGCATGAGAGTTCACATAAAAGGAGATGATCGTGAATCATATGCCTGATCTATATGATCCACACATAGCAATTCTTTCTTTGTTCCAATTTTTATTTGGCTAAAGGACAACAGTAGTGGAAAATTGCACTTTCAGTATCTTGGCCCAAACCATGTTCACCTTGTGTACTTAGCTCTAGCTGCTGCAGGCACATTGGAAAGGTCCTTGTCAAATTAGATGAGTGGTTGCTCTACGCTGTAATTGTATTAGACTAGATAAAAAGAACTGGTTGCATTTTTTTCCATCAATGTGTGATTTGAAAACAGATGGGATAGGAAAACAGGGTAATGGCTTTTTTAATAGAATCAATTTCTTACCATGTAACTCTTTTTTTTTTTTTTCTGTGGAGATACTATTTGAAAATTGCTCTTCTCCATCTCCAGTGCTGCAGCCAGTAGATGCTCCCTGGCTTTTCTCTGTGGCATGCACAAAACTTCCCAGGAAAGCTCTCTGCCTGGCTTACTTACCTGTCATGGATGCAGTTACAACAATAGGGTAGGTCATACGGAGAGCTGCCTGTTGAGCAGGAGAGACACGAGGACCCTTGGCTACAGTGCTCCAGCTGCCACGAGAGCAGGTTTGCCCCAAAGCCTTGCATCTCTATCATGTCGCTGGTGTCTGCAGAAAGAGGAACAGCAGGCCATCAACTTTTTTTCTTGTTTTCCTCTCTTCCTTCTGTGTATCCTGATGGTTTCATGCTTCAGTCCTCAGCAGGCTCTAAACCTTGATTCCAAAAACAGGGGAGCACAGATCTAGTTGCCTCAGAAATACTGCTCTCAGCACATATAAACCAGCCACATGCTGTGCATGGTCACTTGAGTCAAATCCCTTCAACATTTTCTCCTTTCTTGCCCATGCACAGCCCAGACAATGTTCCAAGAGAACAGAAAAAAAAAAAAAAAAGGGTGCTGTAATAACGATTAAAACATGTGCTTGTGTAATGCTATGGTAATGTTGTTTGTGGCCAAAATCATCTAACCTTGCCTTCTACTTTTTACAGGTCTTAGAATTTCACTTTGCTATCCTTAGATCAGTCATTTAACTGCTAGTCCAGCTAGAGTGAAAGTTTAGCATAAAATAAATTGGGTAAAATTGACTCTTATTTTCAGAAGATACTTTTTTAGATGCTTACTTACAACCAATTCCTAAAATCTTTAGAGCAGAAGGATATTTCAAGTCCAACTGAAGTCAACAGTTTGTGAAGGTGGGGTACTCTGGAGAAAGATGTGATCCAACAGTATAGTTCAGCTTCTTGAGTTCAGCTTCTGCTTCATCCAATGTTTGCTTTCTTAACCTGTTTCAGTAAGGCATCTCCCCAAATCACCACTTGCCTTTAGAAAGCCTAGCTTCAGCTCTTCCCCTTTCTCAGCTGGCATTTGAGCTTTTGGGGTTTTTTTATAATAAATAACTGGCCTTTCAGCTCACCCATGATTACAATTAAGGCAAATGCCATAATACTGGATGTCACTGAATTAACATTTGAAGGCAAAATCCAGTCCCCTGGGCCGTGCTTTTAAAACATACATAAGTTGGGCAGTTGGGGCAAATCCAAACCATCTCATGCATTTTAAATCAAGGTAGCATAAAGCATTTTAGTAGTGCCTATTGGAAAGTGGGCATAGGTGAGGAAGGAGTGGAGTAAGAACATTTGTTAACAGAAAAAGCACAGGCTCATGCGGAAGCAGTCATGTGTATTTCACTTCACAAAACAAAGTGTGATGCAAAAATGCTCTTCACCTTAATTCTTCAGGAAGGAGCTGAATGACCTAGTATTTATTACAACTTCTAATTTGGTTCAAATAAAAACCATTGGACAAACATTTTTAGATCCTTATTTTTGCCTTCCCTCTACAGACAGGAAAAGTGGGTTTTTCAGTTTTTATTTGTTTTGTTTTTAAGAAACAAGGAGAGAACCCCACAGAACCTAAGCATTCAGATGAAAGGTACCTGAATTAGTGAAGAATTAGAGTGAACAGCATCTTTTCTTTAATTGTAGTGGTGTTACCTGTAACTTTAGCTACATGCAAAAGTCAAGCATGTTGCAAAATGTAAAAGCAAATGGCTAGCAAACCTGCTACAACAGTGTTGTCATTATTGGAAAGGATGCAGCTGGACTGCCAACAGCCAAACACCAACAAGAATCATTACTCAAATAGTGGGCATAATCCTAACTATACTGTTATCTTAAAATAAAAGCCAGATATCTGACAGCTCCTCTAGTAGGATGATTTTGCATTTACATTACCTGACTAAATTGTATTCAGTATGCTTAGAGCACAGCATTGGCCTCATATTTGTATACCTGGCAGTGTTAGACCTCTTCCTTTTCTGTTATAATCCATATGAGAAATGATACCCGAATTCCTGAAACAGGGCCTTCACAGGGAAGGCTGCGTTTCCAGATTTCCTCCCATCCATACCTTCCAAGATGTCTTTATTAACTTGGGCTGGGCTTTATTAGTCGTTAGGGGTTGGTCACTGGGATAAATGTGTGCAACCTGTCACATTTACTCAAAAGATACCAGGGCCAGCAGTGTGTTGGTATGGCAACTGTGCAGGAAAGCCTGAAGGAAGGAGGGACTTCAGCTGAAGTAGTGGACAAGCCTGGACATCTCCTGCCTGTCTTCTAGTCAGCTGCAAGACTTATAATGCCAGCTATCCATGAGGATTTTACTCTGCCTGATGGATTATTTTATATACTATTCAGCATCCTTTAAGGAAGGAGGACTTAATCTCCACAACTACACTATTAGATCCTGAATGCTTGCTAGTAACCGGCTTCTTGAGAAGGGCAACATAATATCTCTGTTATGAATGGCTTTCTAAAGAAAATAATTAGATGACAAATTCTTAGGGAACAGAAAATCTTTCGGCTGATCACCTGCAACCCAACTAATCTATGAATACAAGAGGTGTAATGAAAGCACCCAACGCTGATCTCCGCACTAGTTTCCCTGCACTTTGCTAGTCCATTTTAGAGCTATCTGGGGCGTGGGAGCATGGACACTTGCACCATCCCTGTGCTCAAATTCTGCTCAGTACACTTCTGTCCTCCCTGTTCTGCCCACACGGGCATGCTCCATTCCTAGCTTTGCCCAGCAAGCTGTGCAATTATTGCTACAACAGTGTGCCCTGACCTTTTCTGATATAAGACTGCTTGTTTTGTGTGTTACAGTGTACACATAACTCATGGAGGAAGAACACAAAGGCCTTTTACAGTCACTCTCCTTTGTGAACACGTCCTAGCATCCTCCGTTTATGAGTGGGGGACAGAAAGCATCTGGTAGGAGGTTGGTTTGTTCAGCAGCACAGACACTCAAAGGAGAGGGAAGGTGTTGCTGTCCCCACTTCCCGTGTGTTGCACACATATTCCCAGCCCCTCTGCACATTTGACCAGGTGCCCTGATCTCACGGGGTAAGCAGAATGCTCTGCCCTGTAATAATGCCAACACTGTTGTATGCAGTAGTGGAACGAGCTGCAACAGAGCTCTGGGACACACGGGGAGGAGGATAAAAACCTTTCATCCTATTAGGAGCTGTGAGGTTCCGAGAGCAGATCATTGATAGCATTGCGTGCAGCTTATCTTCCTCCTCCTCGTCATCGTCAACAGAGGCAGAGCGGCTGGCAGCTAAGTGGTGGTAGTTAATAGTTACTGCTCAAAGAAAATAGTGAAAGAGGAGCATAAGAAGAGAGAACTTGGTTCTGCGGGAAAGCTCAAATGGACACGTTCAGCAAAGACAAAAGGAGTTGAATCCTACCCTCTTTTTGAGGGCACAAGCTCCTGTGTGAGTGAGTAGGAAAGAAGTGTTTTTTTTTTTTTTTTTTTTTCTTCTCAGAAAAAACATGCTCCACCAAACACAGGCCAGCATTGGACTGCCTGGGCTGTGTTCCCAGTGCACGAATGTCATGTCATGGCAAGAGAGAAAAGTCCCAGTGCCATCCTGCAATAGGCGAATATGTTTTTTAGCAAAACTTCATGGAAATTCATGGCTCCAACTATCTTCCCTCCTTCATCATGTTCAAATCAGTGCTTGTGACCTCTTTCCCACTCTGATGCCTGTGCCAGATAGGAAACAGTCTGGTCCCCAGCTCTGTCTGGTGCTGCAAACATGCACAGGACAGGTCTGCCTCTAAGGCAGCATGAGGCCGAAGCCAGCTAGACCTTGCCCACACCAGGAAGGGCTGGGCTGACGGCACCCACAGAATCTGTGCTCCCCAATGGCACATGGCAAACGTGCTTCTGCTGGGGTGTGCGTGTGAACACCAGAACTTACCTGTGCAAACACAGAGGCCCTAATAAAACATGGCCACACTGTGGTTCAGCCCCTGGAGTAAGGAGAGTTTAGCTGAGATTTCTGCTCTTTCAGCTGCATTAAGTCTGTCTGTGAACAGTAAAGCCAAATCCCCTTGTAAACTTCAGGGCTCGATCTGCCTGGTAAATTCTGAATTGCTAATTTTTTGAGGGGAATAAACTGAACATGCTTTGGAAGACTAGCTCAATTGCCTTCTTCCATGTAAGGAAATTCTACTTACTGATGACATGAGGTGGTTTGGTACTCGGAATTCATTTAGTTTCCTGAGAAGGGCTTCATTTATCCATTGTAAAGTTCTTGTTTCCAAGCCAAGCAAACTCAACCCAGGGAGTTCTTGGGATACTTTAAGAGCCCAGTTTATGTTGCTTGATTGATTGCTTGTGATAGCAATGTTATGAGCAAGTAGCATGGTCAATAAAAGCTATCCCCACTCATGAGCAAAACTGCTCTTGGCTAGTCAAACACAATCTTTGTGCTTTTGGTCTCAGTTTGCAAGCCCAGGGGAGTATTTTGAAAACTTCCTCTGTGAAACACAGAGCAAATGTAAATAAGATTCCACCCTCCACTCCATTTCTATTAAGATTACAAGTTTAACTGCATTTAGGAAATCTACAGTAAGCTACACCTGTTGATCAAAATTATCCAGCAATGAAATTCTGTGGTAGATTTTTTTCCTACAAAAACCTGGCTTGTCTGTTATCTTGTTACTTCAAGGTTTTCTTGATTGTTTTTTTCACAAAGCAGAACAATTAAAGGACTTACTGTTATCATGCTTGTGTCCTGGATAGATAATTCGGAATACATAGTCTGTAGCATTGTCTTCAACTGGCACTTCCTCTAGGTCCACTGATCTGTTGCTGTTCCGTTTTCGAAGCTTTGGAAATACTTTACCCTACAGAAAATAATGATCTCATGCACTTAGCTACCATGGAAGAACAGAAAAGAAAAACAAAACAAAACTTTTGCATCTTAAAGCCTTAAAACTTAACTTTCAATGCTGGGGGAGGAAAAGAGGAGGGTAATCAGCAACAGGAAGCCAGCACATCCAATAGCATCAAATATGCAAGGTGGTCTAGGTGTACTTAACATATTTTTCTATATATCTGAATCACAACTTTTTCTTGTAATCCATGGCAATTTGGCGCCAGTTCCTTTAATAACCCAAGTCTCTGATAACACGTATAACCTAGTCCATTTGAGGCTCAGTTCCTATCGCTTGCACGTGTATTTTGATACAATAGGAGATTCTGGTTCACGTTTCAGTGCAACAATAAGATCACAAACAAATTTTATGGACTATCTTTAAAACAAACAAATTGGACTAAATAGTTATTTTTCATTCTATCTCAATTTCCAGCTGCTCTACAGTAATTCCTGGACTGTGTGTGGCAGAATACTGTTCCACTAGGACGTCAAGGTAAGCCCTACTCCAAGCAGCTCATCAGAAAAGGCAGTACCTTGCCCTGTTGGGACCAGAGTGGTGGTTCCAGCTGTCCGCGAGGCAGAAGGCCGTTTTCCAGACAGGAGAGGAATGCAAGAAGGTGACCTCCTTGTGGGAAGTGCAGTGGAGGTCTCTGAGTTCCATCCTGACTCACCAAGACTAACGTCCCTCTGCTTTCTGCTGAGAAGAAGGACAAGGGGAGTCCGCACTGTTACGCCAGAACATCTATTTATTGCTTTTACCTTCTAAATTAAGTTTTATTTGTGACTGTCTCTAAGCAGATATAAACAACATTGTAAATCACAGGGCAATCTAGGGATGACCTCAGCCCTTTTAGCCTTAAAAAAGCTCAGATGTGAACAAACTATGACAGGCCTAATGCAGAAACATTTAAAGTGATTATGAACATTAATATAATAAATAATAAAGGAGGAAATACGCTAAGTCTGGCATATGACACAAGTGATAGAGTACACACAATTCAGAATAAACCTAATCTAATTAATATAGCCAGAGGCAGTCAGCTTTGTTCTTATAGGAATCAACAAGTCACATTTCCTGTTGTAAATTGTTTTCATCCAACTTCACAGTCAGTAGAAAGCAAGCACAAATAAGGAAACACATTGTGGGCTCTGGATGTACTTTCAAGCATAATAATCTACATTGTGAGTGCAATTTTCAAAAGCACATAAGTGTATTAGGTTCTTAATTGCCTTTCCAAAAGTGAATGAATGAAGAACATAACTCACCAGAGTGCTTTTGAAAGTTTTACCTGTGATCTTTATACCCCTCTGCCATCTACAGCCATCTGGGTAAAAGGGAGGACGTGTTCCATTGCATGGTTGTGTCAGTTCCAGTCTGTAGCAAGGTGCTCTGGCAAGACCACCAAGTGTCTGTTGTCTTGGGCAAACAACAAAAATCATGTTGTGTGCATGTCTGGCACCTGCTTCTGAAACAGCCTCTTCAATGAAGCAGAGCAAAGACTGTCATGTCATACACCCACTATCTAATTCCCCTTTCTCTAAGGAAATGCTGTAAAGCGGAATGGTGACACATCTGTCCAGTCAGTGAAATTCTGGAGAGACATGAAGTGTCCCAGGGAAGGTGATCCAAGTGAGGCAGAGGGACCTGAAGTAATATTACAGTTGTCATCCTCCACCAGTTGGGATTCTAGGTTTTAACACTTGAGCACACCTATCTCAGCTGGCATGGGAAAACTACTTAAAAGTCCTAACACACAAGTCATTGAGGGAAAAGAGAGATCATCATCTTTAGAGATTTTGATGGCTCTCCCATGTACATACTTAAAGCAATATGTACAGACTGTCTTTTAAAACAAGTTCTTAGTTCAAAATGTCCTTTAGTCCAACTGAGGTCATTCTCTAATTTACATCTGACTACAGATAAAATTTCTAAGTGTTCACTGTCTTTTAATTTAAGGCTTGTGGTGAGTGACAGAGATGTTTTGCTCCAGATCCCTCTCCCTATGTTAAGCAGAATGGGCTAGTCAGAACTTCTGACTAATTTTTAGAGCTCCTGAGCACCCACAATATACACCAAATGAGCAGGGCAAGAGTCTGCTGCAGTGGAGGGTTGATGTCCCCCATGAGAAGAAGGTTTGTGCTTACGTTGTTGATGGCAGTGAATGCAGACGATCTGGCTGAGTGGCACTATTAACGCGTAGTCCCAGTACACACTAATAGGGAAGGAAAAAAGTGCAAAAGACATTTTTTCCCACATTCAGGCGGGCTTGTGATTTCAAACAACCAATAAAAAGACTCTGCCAAGTTAGCAACAATTTATTACATTTGGCCAATTAAGGGGAATTAATAATGAAGTAAAAAGCAAAGAAATTAGTCTTCCACAGTTGATACAGCTGGCACCAGCCTTTTCATAAACTCTTTCTCTCTCCCATCCCTCTCCTCCCTACCTTCACCTGCCTCATCCAGGTTAAAATAACATTCTGGCTAAAATTAAAATGCCCCAGGCGGGGAATTTGTGATGGCTTTGTAGCTGGGATGAACCGAACCTGGACAGTCAGGTTCGGTTCTATCTTCCACACATGATTTATGGACAAAAGCATGTAAATCCTATGGGACCCTAGCTTGCACAGATAAGATACTGGTAACAGTTCTAAACCCTTCTGAGAATAACCTTGTCTGGATTCATCACTAAATCAAAGGACCGAGGGCTTCACTAAAGTTTTGTAAAATGAATACAGACAAAGTTCTATCACAATAACTAAGATCCAGAGGTTCTGGCAGGTTCGCAATTCATTCCGCTCAATTGCAGTGATTATGCATACAAATGCCACTGAGAGCTTACATCTGGGTCTTAGCTACACCTACACCTCCTCTTCTGTCATTTTAACACAGAATACATTACAGGACCTGGGAAAGTCACTTCATCCATGGTAAAACAGGAACAGAATCCAAACTGCCTGACACCAACTTCTGCATTATTCAGAAACCCTTCAGTTAAATCAGTCTTTTACCCTTATGTCATATTGCCAGAGACACAAGAAATAACACCGAAAATGCTTTCCATCTTTTCCTGAAATAGGAATGGCTACCTTTTTTCCAGCTCTGAATCTCCAAGGGTTCCATTCATCAGCTGATTTGGAGTCCATTTTAACGTCAAACTGTCTGCTGACTGATGAAGGGAAAGATACCCAGGAATTGCCTCCAAGTCATCTTTCTGTTCACAGAAACAACACACAGAAAACCAAGGTGACTCAAATGCACACATAGCCTCTTTTCTTTCCCCCCTCTTGTTATCAACCTTACCGGCTGGACCAAGACATTGTTTTTCCCGTACAGGAGGTGCGTTCGGGAATTCTGGTGTAAGGACTCCACGTATTCCCTTGCCGAAGCAGCAAAGCGATCCTCCGATGTGCTCCCACTTGAATGCCTTTTCCGGATCTAGCACACAGACACACACAAAAGCAGTCAGCCCATAATTTCTTGTGAACTATCTAGTCAGTGCACCAGTGCCAAAAGACACAGAATTTAGTCTTGGATGTCAGACTTTTCTGAATAGAGTTAAGAGGGTGTCTGGGTTTAAGTGGACTTCTAATCTGTGCCAAGGACACGTTACAGAAGAAAAACAAAATGATGCCCTAAATTCGGATCTCCTCCCTTAAAGGGTGTTTCCATTGTTTATCTGTACCTGTAACTAAGAAATAGCTACAAAGCTACCTACTCCCAGGGCTGGGCGCTTTGAAGGAGAGTCTTGACGGCCATGAACTCCGTGAATCCGGTGCCGCTGAACAAGCTCATCTGCCGATGGGTCTGTCCAGTAGTGATCAGTTGTTTTTAACTTGGTGTACTCCAGCGCACATGGTCCAACTAAGAAAACAGTCCGGGAGTGAAACTTTGCAAGTCTGTTCACACACCTATTTACTCCTATCCCACAGCCCAAGTACTGAAAGTGAGATTTTCCTCCCAAGCCAGATGAACATTGATGGTCACTTAGTGATCATTCCATCATAGAGTAAATTATAACATATCGGGTCCTATTATCTAGGACCGTGCAAAAATATTGTTAGACACTTTAATAACATACAACTGCGATACTAGTAGTTCCAACCTGCTGTTTTAAACATCACATCTAACAAGTGTTCTAAAAAAAAAAATCTATTCTCTGATCTAACTAATAATAATCATAATCATAAAAAGAAATCACTAGTCTGTATTTGTCTGATAAGAAACACCCCCCCCAATCTCCTGTATTGCTCTATTATTCATAGTTAAATTATTTGATACAGAGCTAAAAGTCACCTTTAATAACACTGGCCTAACACAAAACATTTCAAGAAATAATTTCTTCAGCATAACAAAAAGTAACACTGCAAGAACTTACCTAAGAGAGAGGCAAGTATTGGGCCACAAACAGGGTCTGCCAGTAAAGCTTCTTTTTCATAATATTTACTAGGAATAAAAGATTAGAGCCCAGTTAAGATCACTAGTTGTATTTTTTAAAAGCTCCTGAACTTGCCTGGTAGAGAGAAAGCAGTTGATTGGATTACCTTGACTTCACCAATGCATACATCTCTTCTGCAAGTATTCTTTAATGGAGCTTGCCTAGCTCGTGTACTGTTCTTCAAAGAAGAAATTTTGTGCTTCATTTGCACAGAAAGTGAGAAGTCCTTAATCGTCTTTATGGCCCTTCACCACAATTAGTTCAACAAACCTACAATCCAGAGTTTTATACTTAATAAAATATCCTACTTTTGATCCATTTTCTGCCCTGATCCACTGTGCCATCCCAGGCAAGTCATTTTATCTTAGTACGCTCATTCTGTCTCATCTATTTTTGACACTAAGCTCTTCAGAAGCAGGAGCTTGTCTTTTGCTAAATGTGTTTACCCACTATATTCGATCTGGGGCTTTGGGCACTAATGCAATATAAAGACAAATAGTAAATCTCTGCAAGCAATTTTGCCAGTTTTCCCCAGAGATCAAGAGTTCCACATGTTTTTAAACATCCCTTCCATTTGTAAAGAATATTCTTGAAATGCTGTCAAAAACAATGAAATACTACAAATAATAGCTCTTGCTAGGACCTCAAAACCTTCCTGTCACAGCCAGACAAAAATCACAGAGCCCAAAATCAAACTCTGATTTCTTCAACTGTCATTATCTCCTGCTCTCTCTTCCACTAGATGGGGCTCAAATCTAAACACTCTTCTTTTCCTAAAGAACAGAAGGGCTGAAGGACTTAAACACATTTCACTGAAGCAGTAATGTCACAGAGAGGCACGAAAAAAAGCCATTTGAAGAGATACATGTTATTCGGTGGAAGTCAGGATCTCAAAAAATCAGATAACTACAATTAGTAATGAATGCATAGTGATTCATAGTAATGAATGCAGGTAAATAAGACTCTTGTCACATTTGCAACTGAATTATGTGGAAAAAAAAATAAAATCCTTGTATCCATGTATGGCTGATACACTGGGCTGAAATGCCTTCATTAACTATATCTATGGGACACATCCATCCTCACTGACCCTTCTACACAAAGTCCTTTAAACAATTTGGGCTAGATATCCCAGAGGAGGAGGTTTCTCTTTCTTCCATTCTCTTTTTCTTCTTTAATTGCAAATTGGGCTAGATATCCCAGAGGAGGAGGTTTCTCTTTCTTACATTCTCTTTTTCTTCTTTAATTGCAAGATAGACCATGAAAATAAAGCTGATAAAAGCAAAATAGTATGGCAAACTTAGAAAACACTGTGGGAATAAGCTCCTCTGTCTGAGCTCTCTTCCCTGTTCAGCGCCACAGGCTTTGCACAGCCAAAATGCGTCCTCTAAGTGCAGAACACTTATAAGAGGAGAACCACTTGCAGCACTGGAAGTAAGGTGCTATGCCAGCAGATTATAAAGTATTTTTCTGTAACCAGACCAAACCAAACTTTAGTATTGGAAGGAAACTTTCTCCTCTTATGAGAAATTGTCCCCAGTGTGCTCTCTAATTCTTCTTTAACACTTACAGGAAGGTGGGAAGGCACAAACGGTAGTTAAGAACCCCTGGGGAAAATGAGACAGATGATGGCAGAAAGTGATGATAGAACAGAGAGGCGTCCTTTTCCTCTTAGATTCCCTGTGGATTATATCCACAAAGCACTGAAGCTCTTCTCTGGCCTCGCATGGGAAGAATCATTTTATACAAAGCTTTGTGGGTTTTTTTCCCCCGAAAAAGGAAACGGGAGTCATAGAACCTTTCTGCACAACCTGAAGACTGCATCTGTAGCTCTTCCTGTTCTAAGCTCTTTACCCCTCCTTTCAGCTACAAGGAGTACATTCTTTCCTGATGGACCATAGTCCAAAGAATTGTTTTCAAGTGAATGTAGGCGAATTAAGTACGCATGATCTATTAGAACACTAAGTCCTGAGGTCCAAGTCCCATTAGAAGGCAGGTACCTTTACTTATTTACTGAAACCAGGCGGAATTAAGTGCCTAAGTGAGTGTAAAGGCTCAGGGCTTTACACACCCTTGAAAACACTACCCATTGTGGTAGCACTGTTCAATATTTTGCCTACTTTAGAAAAATCAAGTTAAGAGAAGGCTTTAATAAACTGCAAGGTGCCTTTTAACTTTTTGACTGATATCTGAAGAGCAGCATGGCTATTAACACTTTTTGCAAGTCTGAAACTCTTAGAGATTCAAAAGAGATGTACAGATGTAATATTTTTTGTTTGTTTGTTTTGGGTTTTTTAATGACTGTCTAGCTCCTTCTCTTCCTATCAGATCTATTAAGTTTGTAAATGACTCTTGAAACTTCTTTTTGAAGAAACCTGAACACATTTGTCTATCAATTCTCTGTTCTCTTTACTCTTTCCTTACCTGCAGTTATCAACGATATACTGCACAATTTTGTCGAGGACTTTCTCAATCAAGGCTGTTCGAACCCATATGTGTTTGATAGCTTGAGGTGTAAGGACAGGTGTTTTGCTTGTAGTTGATCCCTGCCTCTTGAGGGATTCTTGCCCATTTGGCTGATTTTTCCTGCAAAAGGACATTAAGTGTCAGAGTTCAGACTCTCTTCTCACAGGAACCTCTCCAGTGAAAGACTGTATGGAGAGGTGTTTGAACACAACACATACACCTGGCATCTGAAAGCCCAGCATCTGAGCTTCTCCCAAACTCTCAGCTACTGTAGATTGAAATTAATAGGCAAAAAAATCCATCTCAGACCATGGGCCCCCAAAAGAATAAAAACAGGAAAATGCAGTCTTCTGCAAAGACAGAAAATAAGTTTCCCTGCAAGACCTAAAGAATCTCATCAAATAAATCTTTACACTTAGCTGAGAAACCTGCAGGGAGGATGGTAAGAAGACTCTCATCTTCCAGCTTTCTCCTTTATCTTTGAACTGAAGCTAGCCATAGCCTCAGAGGGAACACAGATGCTCCAACATGAGATATTTCCACAGACACCAGAAGCACCCAGTAGAAATTGTGATAACACAGGCAGAGCTGTTCCAGGGAGCTCCTGTTACACGATCATCAGACAATCCTTGGGCACAAGGCCATCGCCTGACTCTCTTCTATAAAACACTAGGTATATCTATAGCACATTCTGCACTAGTGTTTGGCAGTGAAATCCCATCTCTTACCACCTACAGGATGAAAACAAGACAGCTAAGAGACAAGCAGTATCAAGCTGAGAAACCAGAACTATAGTAATTGAGCATTCAAAGCCAGCTGGGGGCTTGCTTACAGCCAAGACCCCCTGCCTGCTCCTACAGTATAAGCCAGCACAGTAATAGGCCCAATTCAGAAATGGAGAGATTAACACTGCCTTTTAGTGACAGGAGAGTAAGCTGGCTATAAAAATCAGAATTACTTGCCAAGCCTGTCTGTAAACAAGAATGCAGGGACTGTTCAGCAAGGTGCTCTCTGAACCATGTATCTTCTGCCAAGCAAATCCACTCGACCCCATGAGTCCAATGAAATCTGCTCACAGGAGCCTCTCTCCCATGCCTAAACCAGTGAAATGGGTAGGGCATTTTCTCTGTGTCCTGGTAGCACGCTGAATACTTTTCAGGTCTGACACAATCTAAAGAATTCAGATGTGACAGACATGCTGCTTTCCTTACTATAGCTGACAGCAAGGTACAAATGCCACGAAAAGCTTCTTGTCAACACCAGGCCACAGAAAATGTGTTTGAGCTCTGCTTTGCTTTTTCCTGCTGTCTAGCAAAGGAGCTGAAATGTGAGCTTGTATTCCCTTCCTTCCTCCGTCCCTGCTAGTTTTGCCTGCGGCATCAGTTATGTAAGACAAGATGACAACACTGTCATATAAAGAATACCTAGCATGCAGCAACAAGCCACAAATGCACATTTTTAGAAGTACCAGCTGGTACCAGCTACGCACAGCCTGCTGCAACTGCACTGATGGGCACTGCCCTACACGCTCTCCTCCTACGGCTCCCATACCCACGGCATACCACGTGGTGAACCGTTCCAGCCCTGCCCCGGTCTGGCACAGCATCTCGTGACGGCTCCGCATTCTTGCATCAGGTAACGTAATGCAGGTGCAGGGAAGGGCACACTACAGAGGTGAGCACTGCACACCTTCCTACCTCTGTGCATACTTTAAGTTTGCTTTCCCTCTCCATCTCGCTCTCTGCTCCCAGCTCTCTTTCCCAGCCAATTTTCCCCTTAAAATTGCTGAAAAAACGACTCAGTTTTGCTGTAATGAGAAGAGTAACCCTGACCTCTCTAGCAAACTAATCTACTGCAGAAAACCCGCTCTCAAATTATCCTGTTCTTTGACAGCACTCAGGTCCCATGTCACAAACGTATTCCATTACAAGTACAAAATACAATCTTTTGGCACAGTCTTGGCTGAGGTCTGTATTCCTGCTCTGCATTTACAAACCCCCTGCTCTTTCATTAAGCCATGACAGACCCCTGCAAGATAACACACACATGCAGTGATAATCCCATCTCAAGAAACACACAACGCTAACATCAGAGGAACCCAAATGTGCTTAATTGTATCCTAAATAGTCAGAACCACATGAGAAGTTTTTACTTGCAGTGCTCAATTCTAGCAAGAAGTTTGGGCCTTTAGCTGTCTCATATCTTGACTTCAGCTGTCAGTTTGATGAAATTGGTCACAGTTATTCTTCCTTACGGTCTCTGACAGACTGACACTGACTAATTGACTAAATGACTGATTTTGACTGATAGTCAACATTTTTAAAAATTCGGCTACTGTCTATTTTCCAAGCAGTCTCTGTATCCCTTCCACGCTGCACACACATTGTACGAATTTTGCTGATAGGCAGACCACAGCCTCACCTACCTGCTTTCTACCTGCTGCTGCAGTTCCTGCACTTTCTTGCATATGTCTCCAGCTACTGCGTACGTCTTGCCAATTTTGGTGAACAGCGCAGCTACCTTGTCGGTCCGCAGGAAGCCGGCAGCCCTGCGCTTCAGCATGTGCAGGAGACACGCTTCCACTACACCTGCGAGACAGGGAAGGAGAGGAAGTTATGGGCACTGCTCTTCAGTCTGCTCTCTGCTGAACGACGTGCAGCGACACCCGCTGATCAGGTCTGGGAACAGAGAGGGAGACCAAGTCGCAAAATCAGATGAATACAGGTATGTGCCTAATCTGCAACAGAGCACTTCAAAATTTGCAGTTCATGTCAGTTCATAAATGAACCAAAGAACTGAAATGCCATGTACCAAATGATTGTGCATCTTGACATGGTTGGATGTAGAGTCTGGACAAGAAGCAGGAACCATCAGTTACAAGAAAAGAATGCCACTGATTAGAAGCATTCTAAAGAATTGGCTGTGATTCAGACATCTCTTGGCCTTGTGCCTCATAAGGAGCTGCAGAACGGTCTTCAGGAAGAGATGACATCACCTACGATGGATGTGAAGTTACTCTGCAATCATTTATGAATATCAAAGATGCCTGAATAATTAGGACATTTGCTGGACAAAAATTGTAGAAGCTACTGGACAACAAACTGGAAACAGAATAATTATATTTGAAAACCTAATCCACTCCCCAAAGCCCTGGAAATTGCTACAAGACAATAAAGCCACAAAACTTGATAAGATAAGCTCACCTCCCAACATCAGTCTAGCCCATTATTCTAGTTTCGAGTAGCAACATCAAAAGGCATCAGAAGTGATAAGAAAAGATAGTAACACTATGGCCTAGGAGGGAACAGAGCTGCAGCCTTTCTGCTCACGGGGTTCACTTTGGCACATCTTATTGTACTCTACTCTGCAGGTCACCAGCAAAACAATAAAGACCACACCTGCTTCATATCAGTCTTGCAAGACCATGCAGCAGAAATCTAACAAGTTTTTCTGTAAACTGCTGCAGAAAAAAGAAATAGGACACGTATTATGGCATGAAAACAAAATCAAAAACAAGCCTTCCTCATCTACCAGTTTTTAAATCTAGATTGCAGATGACTCATCCAATCAACACTGTTCATTAAAAAGGTATGAAGGGAAACAGACCTGTCCACTCCGAGAAAACAAGACAAAATGGGGTGTGTGCTCTCAGCGAAATCGATTCAGGCAGGCCGCTCCGCAGAGAGGCGGCTGGGCTCGGTGTGAGCAAGGCGCTCCTGTGTTTAATGATAGCAGGCACTCCTGTGGTAAACTGCAGTTAACATTGCCACATTAAATTTTCATCACAGGCAACAAATGGCTTTCCATCTGCTCTGATATACACTGCAACCCTCAACTTTTGGCAGCTAATAGGAAAGAAAGCAGTATTTTGCTACACTTCTAAGCACAGTCTTGTCAGGTGCTGAGCATTTCCTGAAGACTCCCACCTCCTCATTGTACTTAGCGGCCTCCAAACCCATGGCACGAGAAAACTTATGGCTGAAGCAGAACTATCTTCCTGGCTTGGTCCCTGAAGCCCAACTCATTCCTAGGCATAAAAATATAAAAACACCTCCTGCATTTAGCTGGTCGACAATCTACTGCAGTCTGGGGAAATCACAGGATCTGTTTGCACTGAGCAGCTACAGCAAAAAGGCTCCCTTCATTTTCAGCACTACTGCTCTACTCTTTTTTCTATGAGACTGAAGGATTACCTGCCAAATGAACAAAACATTAAGAAGAGCATTTGTGACACATTAGTAACTTCACATTTTGTGTCTTATCACTCTGAAAGTCGTCTCTGGCTTCCTGTTAACATATCTCCAACGCATCCCCTGAAAGAACAACCACTTACTTGTAGAGTACAAAAAAAAACCCAGCTCAAAAAGAAAAAAAAAAGAAAAAGAAATGTGTTGCAGGATAACCATACCACTGCTTTGTTTTCAGCTGTGAAGGCAGATATGTTTTTAAGCTAAGTAACGTTGGATAAAATCTAAGAGAAGACAGACTTTGTATGAAAAGACCCTATAAGACAGCAGGGTAACAGCGGAGTTCAGTACTGGGATTTTGGGGATTTTTGGATTGTTCATTTTTAACAATTTTTATTGATATGAGTAAGCACAAATCCTGTAATTCTATAACCTGAATTCAGGCTCTGTGAAATGGAGATTGCAACATTCTCTCTCCTTCTTCATCCGAGTCCTTGCCTTTACGCCTTGCTGGAGCTAGCTCTGAGCTGCCCTGGAAGCGCTGCCGCAGCGCTTCTTACTGCTCTCTGCAGGCCGAATCCAGGGGACTCCTAGTCCACGAGGAGCAAAACCAAAGACCAGCTGGAATACTGTGGAGCAACAAAGGAACGCTGCAAACGGTCTCTGCTTTTGCAGACTTGCTCTTTATCTCTAGGACATGAGCTTGATTGCATCAAGCAAGGCCACGGGGCAGCGAGTCTGACACTCGCTCCCACACTGGAATATTCGCCAACCAGAACTACTGACTCAGAAGACAACCGCCCCCTTGCTTTACACCCATATTCTGTGCAAAAACATGTGGGCAACAATATTCCCTGAAAGAAGCACTGGGAAAAACATGCACATCCCTGCTTCACCCCTTTTAGCCACCAGTTTATATGAGGGAGCATCTGCTGCAATCAAAGGGCATCCGTAAGTGGCAAAGGCAATGCCAGTTTGCCTGTGCTCTGGCACAAGCGGGAGCCCAGCGCTGATGGCATCTCTGCCAGCCAGGCTGTTTCTGCTCAAAGGAAGAAGGAGCATCTGCGCATCTGCCACCACAGCCGCGGCGGGGGCGAGCGCTGCCTGGCTGCCCACGGGGCTCTGCGAGGCCAGGCGGAGCGGCGCGGGAAGAACGCCGAGCGACGACAGCGCAGGGATGTTCCGCACGGCAGCCCTGGATCCTGTCTAGCAACCACCACGGAAACTCTCCGCCCAGCCAGTGTTTTGCTCTGCCTTTCAATTCAAAATAAAGGAAAGGGGAAAAATAAAAGCAGCATTCTGGATGCCTGAAGCAACACAGTTAATTGGTTCCAAATCTTAAATGAAGCAACCTGCCTTTAAAAATAACTGCAAAGAAGTGCATTGCTGTTTCCAAGGAAACAGGCTCTCTTCCCACAACACTGTCTTTTTTTTTTCTTTCTCTAAGACAATAAAATATTAATGAAACAAATTTAGTGTAAAGCACAGCAGGTCCAGTTTTAATTATTAATAAATGGAGCAGCTGCCATGGAGGACAAATTCCACAATGACTGTCCCCAGTATTTAATTACTCTATTGGGACATTTCTTGTCCCAAGAGCTTGGTGTGACACCAGGAGCCAGCTGACTGGAAGGAGAAGCCACTGGAATTAGCCCCTAGATTGCCAACTCTCAAAATACATGTTCAACAAGAGAGCTTAATGGACCATGTCCAGGTCTACCTGTACTCTGTCCCGAGGTCTCTGATCATGTTCTATTCAGTCCCAGTCACTACCTTTAGCACCTTCAAGCCACTTTATTCTCCTCACCATCACCCATACATCGAGGCTAACAGTGTTTTCTTTCTCCCAGTTTTCTTTTAGGGCTCCTCTGTACAAGGCAATTATTTCAGAGGACTAATTGAATTCCAGAGGAGCTTTAAATTCACACCTGACTTAATCTGAATGAGGCTGGACAGGCATTAAGCAGAGAGAGAAAGGGCTGTGGAAGCATTATTTATGGGATTTATTTAGCAGGTAAATTTTTCTTTAGACAGGAAAAACCACTGCAACTAAATACCTTGTTTTTATGGGCACTTCACAGGGAACAGAATTCATGAGGTTGAAGCGTGGAAACAAGTGAAGGGAGGAAGATAAAGACAAGCAATCATGTTCAGAGTCTCCAGCTGTTGTTGTTTTACCTATCTGCCCAACTTGAACCCAATGCTGTCACCAAGCTACAGCAATGCAATTCACATTGATGCCCGCTGAAAAGGGAAGGTGCACACACATACGCTGCGAACTGTCTCCACAACCCATACGTTAGAAGCCATTAACTGTGGTCCCCTTATTTACCCAACACCATCTGCATGGTCTAAGCTATGGATGTCTGCAGTTCAAATTGTGCCCATTGCCTCTTGCTCTCTCACTAGGCCCCACTCAGAAGAGTCTGGCTCCATTTTCTTTGCCCACGTCTCTCCACCACCTCTCCCACAGTTGGGCCAGTATCTGGATAAAGCACCTCTCTCACCTGGAAGCAGGATTTTATCCAGCAGCAATTAGTGGGAACAGAACATCTGAGGCTCTGTGGTGAAATGTGTAAACTGACCTGGACTCAAACTGCTTGTGTTTAGCTCTGCCACACAGCCTAGACGCAGACATCATATTTTCAATAAATTTCTGGGATAAAAGATATCTAAATGGATGATTCCATCCATTCACTTCTAGAGATAACTCTAGCTGGGAAGCATCACAGTGGGAAGCTGGTTACTGCTGTTCTCTAAAATCTTAGCCATTAAGCTATAAGAATCTCAACACCCTTCAGAAAATGGAAGTGTTTCCATTAAACTCTATTAAGGGTAAATCAAAATAATAGAGGTTTCTCTAAATAATTGAGCATGATACAATTTGATGGCTCAAGACTAAAGTAAAATGTTTAGCAGAGTGCTCTAAAAAGCATGAGAGATTACATTTCTTTTCTTAAGCTAAAAACACATGCAGTTCACAAGCTGCTTCAGATTTCACACCAGAGCTAATATATACTTTTTTCCTCCCACTATAACACTCTGCTCATTACTTAAAAGCATTCACTTTTGGCATGCAATCAAAAAGCTTTTAAAATAGTGTTAAAAAGAATATATGCCTTTCCTCCAATTACTAAAATCTCTGGTACTCTTTGGGCTAATGTACGTAGGAAACGAGGTAGAATTTTCAAACTATTGTATGAGCCTTGTTTATCACTGAAAATGTTCTGTTTCTAATAGGAATAGTAATATAGAGAGGTTTATATTATGTTTATTAGGGACCTTCATTTCTGTAGTTAATAAACTGCATTTTTTAATACAAAATGCCAAGGTTAAATAGTCAAAAGAATTAAAACTATACAATGCCTGTTTGATCATTTTTTATTTACATCTATTTTCAC